TTGCTAGAGGTGGCTCACCAGCTTCCCCCCCCACAACTTGGCCCAATGGGGCATAAAAAATGAAAAATGAATGAAAAACAAGCCCACCCGGTTTGTATCTGCACTACTTTGAAAACATTGCGAAGTATGAATAATTCGCTGTAATTTTAACAAAGGATGAGCAGCATAGTCACGACCCCTGAAGTTCGTCAGATCGAGGCGGGTTAGCCTATTGATGTTCGAATTGGATTTCTTATGGATCCCGCGGTAATTAGCTTATGCTATAGTATACGAGTAGGAGTGTGAGCGCAAGCGAGCTGCCCCCACTGGCGTGCTACCACTCTGTGCTGAATCAAATTTCCAAGTATTAGGCCTGCGGATGCTGCTATGGCCAGAAGTTGGGCCGTGCGAGGCCCCTTGCTGGCCCTCATGGTGAATACCCTACAGCCACTAACCTTGCTACCTGGCCGGAGACGTTTAGCTGTGCACCTTTCCGCGAGCGCCAACACCTTGGGCCGGGCAGTTCATTACGTTTTGTGATGAGAATAAGATTATCCTTGTTTGTCTACCATCTCATTGCACGCATCTCGTACAACCGTTAGACGTCGTCGTTTTCCAACCCTATAAAATTTACCATGCCAAAGCACTTGACGCAGCTACACGAACTGGGTGTTCAGAGTTCAACAAAGTTGAATTTCTTTCCACCATTAAATCCATTCGTACCCAAACCTTTAAGTTTACGACAATTCTTTCTGCTTTCAAAAAAACAGGCCTTGTCCTGTTCAACCCCGATGTTGTTTTATCAAAGCTACCAGAGATTGAAGAAATTGATATTTAACCACCATGAACTCCATTCCCCAGACCTGAGGATATACAGTCAATACCAAAAACCTTATGCTCTCTAAAGCGCCATGCCGATACACTACTGACTGACCTTCAAGACCTCTCTCCAACATCGCGAGTAAGCCTTCAGAAATATCTGAAGGGAAGCTTAGCGCAAGCACATAGCGGGGGTCTTGCACTTGAGGACCTACAGAATACGAAAGCGGTGGAACTTGCTCGAACTGCCCACTAAAAACGAAGTCGCCGGACCCTTCAGAAGGGTGGGGTCCTCTACGCTCATGAGGCACGGGCGATGGTTCTTCAAAAAGAACAGGAAAGTGTCGAGAAGGAGCTTGAGAAAGCCCAGTGCATGCTCAACAATGTTCAGAGAGCAGCGGATAACAAGGTTAAGCGGGAGTAGAAGGAGATTTCAAAGCAAACGAGAAGGGCGGTAAAGGAGAAAAATAAAAGGCAAAAGTGGCAAAAGCTGTTGAGTTGTGAAATTGGGCGTTCTGTAATACACTTTTTTCATTCTATGTAAAAATTCTATCGTTGAACTGTTACTATCGTTGAACTGTTAGGCACTCCCTCGGAGTGCCACCTCCTTTTGAGGTCGCTTCGCGTCATTCAAAGTGGTGGGAACCTTGGCACGGTTATTTGGTGTTCGACGGAATTGGTGCTGCTATTTATCGGAAATGTAGCAGTGGGAAAACATTGTAACATATTAGGAGTGGCGGTGGTCGGAGAAAGGCTTAACCACTATAATACAGGAATTACATTAGTGCGGGAGGTAGGGATACAACGAGAAAAACTGTTATGTCACGAAAACGACTGTGGGTACTATATAATAGTACGAGTACAGGTACCTTTCTCACCTTCAACGCCATGCCGTAGTCTACGTATCCTCCCAGGATTCATGATGGATACCATGACGGCAACGTGTCCCTAGCGTCAAGCCACGTGACCCTTCTCCTTCGTACCCAAACCTGAGCTTGCCCAACTATTGCGCAAACTCATCACGCCCCGGAACCGCGATCCCTACAACACACCACTGGTCGGGGTCAACCACCAGGTGTACTAGTAAAATATGGACAAGATGAAAATGATTAGAGGCCCTGGGGAAGGGATCCTTTTACAAAAATACTATAGAGGTTGTTTTCATCCATGCTTGTAGCACCGTAACCTATGCCCGCATTTTCCCAAGTGGTTTGGGGGGAGGGCTGGTTTCAGTTGACCGGCGTCACATCATTATGGAGCGCATAGCCATGACATTCGGCCATTGTACCTGCGGTGGTTTCTAGGAGAGGACTTCCCGAAGCCGATTCCCATGTCCTGTTTACTTTTCTTTGAAAGATTTCTACTGACACGGTCCTCTCTCGCGATTTGACACGATCGGCTATATAAACCACAAGACTGCATTACAGGCAAGATGATATTTTGTTTACCTTCCCTCCTCTACTCCTTTCGATATCAGTGATCCCCAGCGGCCGGTCCGGTCAGTCCGGCTTAGGTTTTGAAAAGCCTGGGTCAGTCCGGTCGAAATTCTCAGCGGCCGCCAAATGCAGGCGGCGCCCAGGCAACCGCCGGGTCGAGTCTACAGGTGCGACACATGTCAAAGGCGCCCGGTGCCCAGGTAATCCGAAGATGTCGGTTGACGACCTGCGGGCTTTCAATTTTAAATCACTTGGAATAGGATAAGAGTAGCAGCATTCCCCCGGCCCTATATCTCGCTTAAGACAAATCTATGTCGACCACCATGATGGCCAAATATACTGTCCAACCCCAAGACACTCTATACCATTCTTCCCACAACTCTGTAACTGGCTGGGGTGAATATGCATTAATCGAGTGACTTTGTAAAAGTTTAATCGTGTTGAGTGACAAAATATTGATCTCTTGAAACATCGGCCTGGAGGTGACCCATGTCGGGCCCGGCTTTGTGGGACAACACGAATAGTGATCAGGATTTCACTGTAGTCAAAACCAGGCCTGGTGCTTTCTCGTCACTTGGAAGCGACCCTAGTGGGCAACTCATATTGATTCATGATTTCCACTACGCTTGTTCCAATTGAAGATCGGAATGGGAAGAATTAGGATCGCACCGGGGGATATGTGGGATCGGATATACACATTACGTGTAAAAGCTGGAATTGGTAGTGCATTTCTTTAATTGAAAAGCGACCATTGAGGTGCTTGAGTTGGTTGGAAAACACACTTCCACGGAGCATGTGTGATCCCTATATAGCCGCCGAATCAAAATAGCCGCCGACACCCCTCTAGAGGAGAACTCCTTCTGAGCAGAGCCCCACCCACTCCGAGATGTGGCTGCGGCTGGAAACATGTGTAAATTTCACCTTCATTGGTTCGTGATTTATTTCAAATACCCAGCACCATATCACAAGGAAGGGTTCAAATAACTATGGTCTTTCTCTCGTTGGTACCACTTCTGATATCATCGCTAGATGCTCAACCTTTTCGCACTGGATCTCTCGGGCCCTACCGTTTGATGGGGGAGTTGAGGTAGTGGGTTGCGCAGAGGTCATGCGGTTGTGCAATGATGCAATACGGGTATTAGTTTAATGTGCGCTGGGTCTTGGGGTGGGCTCTGAGTGAGCTGGCACACATAATTGTACAATCACCTTCACACGAAATGCCTAGTGGCACGATATATGGGTTTTTAGTTTTGTCGATACCCTCTGCCATTGGGTATGATAGCATTATCAGATATCGGGCATCTTCCCCACTTCGCTTCTTTCACACCCAACCACATCAAACACAAGACACCGAGCATAGAGAACAGGCTCTGGGCACCAGGAACGGTCATGGGACACCAAAGTGGTTCTAGACTCCTTGGGATAGTTGAGGATCATGACCTGTCGGGCCGGTTTGTTGCTATCCTATCAAGTTTGCTATGTTTTTTTCTCCAATTTCCCTTGTTGTCTGTTTGTGTAGAAGCAGATACCCCTCAGCCTATGACTAGCGCGCTCATTCCATAGTCGCTTTGTTCATGGCCCATCCATATCCAGGTTTGCTTATTTTCAATTATGATGACACTTTCACCATCTGATCCTACATCGCTTCCTTTTGTTTTCATCATTATCCCACAATTATAGAATCCCTCCACGATTTTTGCCCGTGCACAAACCCGTTTTCGTGCGCTCCCCAGTGCGGAACCTCCCTAATACAGCAGGGAACGCAATAATCTTGAACAAATAACATTCATCATTCGTGATACCCCGCCCTTTCCCGCCAATTTGGTTCCTTTCATCATATCCCTGCAGTGGAACCTGTCGCACCCATTTCTCCAGTTGCTTCCTCGGCTTTCTCTCCTCCCGATGTTTGTGCCGCATCAGTCTCTGTGATTGCTTCGATTGCTTCCGCTGCTTCCATTCCGTCCATTCCATGCATTACCTACCCGCCATCAGCGGCAAAGCGTGATATCATAACTGGCACACTCGAATATCGTCGGAAATATTCTATTATACGTTCTTCTGTTGTCACATTGATTTCTGGGACGGTGGGTACGCTTTGTTTCAACAAAATATCCCACGCAGGAGGAGTCCTAGTTAGTCGATCCAACACCGATTCATGGTAGTTTTTACTTATTGAATGGAATGAAGAACAGGTTCTACGTTGTAAATATGGCAGTGCTGGCGCTCCGGTGATCCCATTTCCCGTATGTTATCGGGTCGGGAGATTGTAACATCACGCGAAGCTGCATGGAAGACAACAGAACATATTCCCCACCATTCGGGAAGAAACGGTGTGATCCTTGAAAGGCTGGAGCGGGTTTTGGCATGTGGGGGCATCATGGTCTTAGCAAAGTTTGCTGAAGATCACTATCGAAGTCAAGCACCCGGAGCGGGTTTATTTCTTTTGCATTTTGATAAGCCATGAGTCAAAGACTAAGGAAGAGAGGTTAGCAAAGACCGCGTATTCGTATGTCGGTCGCTCGTTAAGGTCTCATAGAGGGGAGCGATGATATTGTAATGCCCGTAGTATAAGTGTGAGTGCAAACCAGCCTGCGCTCATTTATCACCAGCTATGCGAGAGGTGTACTATATGTGAGGTCAAATAGGGTTTGCACATAGGTTATCGTGGTTGTGTGATAAATGGAACTGTGTGTTACCCTCCTGTACTGACCTTTCTTCGTAACGCCGTAGCCCACTAGCCAGGTCGTAGTCACATTACATTTCCCATGAATCCCGCACTGATCCACCTATGCAGTAGTGTAAGAGAGCCAGCACGAGCTCGACGCCTCCGCTAAGTCTCCACCTCTCTGTACGGGATCTGATTCTACAGTATTATGCCTCGGGATACCAATATTGCTGCAAGTCGGGCATTCCGTGGCTCTTGGTGGCCCGCCATCTGCCTAGGACGTTTACCTGTGGACTCGGGGGGGAGCCGCGACACATCTGGGCCGAGGATCTGGGTGCGCATTGAAAATTGGCGTTGAAGGGCTCGGGTAGCTGCGACATTTGGGATATGTCGAAATTGAGTTTAGTCTTATCGGAGGAGACTGCAATAGCGAGACACATCACGATGATAATACTGATACACAACCTCCCCGAGCCCGACAGCTCCATTCATCGCATACAATCTCTATGCGTATACGCGAAATCCGGTTGATTATCGAAGATACCTCGAGTTCCCTTAATGTTCTGTTGATACCCGTGAAACTAAGGAAAACCTCGTAAAGGTTGCATCTTTTCGGTGAGAGCACTATTCCCAGTAAGCCTGCAGTTTGACACTCTATCTAGAGACATGATGAGGAGAGTCCCCTTGGTCTGCATTCCAATGGGATATGTTGGGGAGGTATCCCGGCTCGGAGCTCACAACCGGTAATCTTAGCTAGACAGGCCATTCCGCGACCCTCAAAACCATCGTCAACCAGAACGTTCCAAAGAGGCGAGAGCCAATTTGTACAACTGCAAGTTTAGTGAGTCTACCTTATCTCATATATCCACTGCCAATTTCGGGGGCACCAAGCATCGGCTTGCTAACATCATGAGAAATGACCAGTACCTGACCATGTTCCGCTTCATCAACTCTCAAGTGTTCAAGCCTACCAGAATCCAGTTCCACCGCCCCCGTACTGGAGTCGACCAAGTCTGGAGGAGCATCAGTACTACCCCGGTGAGTTTAGTTTCCCAATTGACCACGTACCATGTTAACCTGGCGGCGCAGAAACGGAGCGCCCGTGGTCGGGGGCGAGCACAAACTCCCGGCAGGTCAAGTGCTGATCGTACAGGAACTCAATCCCGGAAGACCACACACCAGGACACCGACGACAAACAAGGATGCTCTGGGGGGTCAGGAAATGTACTCTTCCATAATATGGTCGAATATTACAAGATTGCTAATAACAAGTTAGAATGGCTCTGGCCCAAACGGCAACCCCCCGCAACCGAAACCCGAAGAAGAAAATGAGGGTGAGACTTCGAAGGCAGATGCCGAAGATATAAAATCTCGCTTGCATCGTCTGGAAACTAGGATTGGTGAACTCAGCCAGGCGATTACCAAGTGTGATAGGAAGGTCGACACCAAGTGTAGGAATATCACCAAGAAGATGGAAACAGATCGCGAAGTCGCCCGGGATTTGACCGTCCGCCTCCGCGATTTCCTCGTATGCCTCTTGTCCAGCCACCGTTCTGGTCCACCCGCGGGAGGAGCTACGAAGAGAAAGTCCCCTCCCACCACTGTCAGTAGCTCTTCAACCACTGGGGATAGCAAGCACTAGGTAAGCATTGCAACACTCCTTTACTCGGAAATATTAGAAACTGATCAACTGGGATAGAGTAGTGTGGGTGTCTTGAATTTTCGTGTTCTCGACATCTGACACAAACTGGGGTTCCTGTAACACGATCTTTTAGCAAACCGAGTTGCTACTTGTTGCTTGTTTTTGCTTCTATCTCGGATGAGAGTCCAGCACGTACAGTATAACTCATATATTTATACCATTGCTATATCTGGTGCATGAACTACAGCTGTAAAGGCGGCTTGCTCACTCTCGGCCCTTCAGCGAAAACAGCTATAGGCATGACAGAGTGAGACTGCACGGGTGGCACGGGGGGAAGACGTGGTGCGTGAACAATATTCCAGCAATAAACTCTGCACCACACCGATTCAAGCCATGTCGATCGTCCACGGCGCCCTTACACACGAGATCCTACACACTCCCTCCCACCCAGGCCCCGCCCCCGCACCATATCAACCAATAAACATTTAAATAGCAAGCAAACACGAGAGGTCTCAGTCGTGGGGAGGATCCTGGAGCCTCACTTCTTAAATGTTACTTTTGATTATGTATTATGCCCGTGAAACATTTGATTGTGCAAATTATCAGGGGCATCGCGCTTATACCGTCTTGTGAATAAGCTACCTGTCGTGGTAATTATGACAAGAAACTGGAGAAAGGGCAACCAGGTATGATCAGAATAGACACCCCAATGAGGATGATGCGGCGGAGAAGAGGGCACAAGCAATAGTCTGAAGGATTCGACGGAATCACTGCTGAAACTTTGGGGAAATGTTACTGTACGAAAACGTAGTTAAATAAATTTTGGTGCTACTGGTGGTACTCGGAGAACTGGTTTACGGCTGCTGGAAATACGGATTATTGCGAGAGATATGGTTGGACTGAAATAATAAAGGTTGTGTTTTGAGCGCAATAATGTTTAGACTACAGCTGGTACTTTTCTAACTGCTGGTCCGACAATGTATTTAGCCTCGGCTACATTTCCGTAGTCTATTTCTTTACTTTCGTGCTCCTCAGCCTCGATGGGTTATCTTAATAGAGTATTGCATACTGTGTCGAGGGTACGCGCATATCTCCGGCGATATTCGAGTTTAGATAATGACATTGGAGTGCATCATGCAACACCAGCCCCATATTCGGATACCTGCTGCGTATCTACAAAATATTGACAAACCATACCAGCTGAGTCAAAGTCAGACTGGTCAGCTTCATGTTGACCCAACGCGGCCGGAGAGCGCCTGCTGACAATGAAAGTCTCTCCCTGACCAAGGCAGGAACGCTGGGACTCTGGTTCCGAACTGAACGTCACCTATTCCCATGAGCGAAGGGTGAGCAGGCATGGGCCATTTTAGCTCCAAAATGGTGAACGGTGACAAGTCAACGAAGAGAAATGGAGAAAGGCGCGGGCGATAGGTCATAACATGGGCAGTCGATCCCGAGCTACCATCACCCGCCGAGCAGTTTCAAACTTCAGAGGCGGAGATGGATCAAGAATATCCAGATCCTGAAAAGATTCCTGCAATACGAGTGCTTCCCTCATCTTGTCTTTACCTGGTTGCGATCGAGGCGTCCGTGTCCGCTGTCCGACTGGCGCACTTTACTCTGCAGGGCCCCCGCTCTAGTATTCCAACCTAATCCTATAGTCCTCACTCAACAATTGAGACATTTTGTTTGGCATACCTCAATCCCAGAAATACCAGGAATCCTTCCGAAACTCTTCGTCCCCCCCCCATGGGCACCCTCTTGGTGGTATTCTTCGGGTTACTGCTTGGGGGTTCACTCAATCAGTCAGATTGTGGAATATGTGAGAACGTTTGCATTGATACTTCGCGACACATTGCATAAACATCGTCCATGGAGCAGGGTAAATATGGCAGTCCTGATCATTAGCAAGAAAATAGGGTTTAAGAGATTTACAGGATTCCTGATCGAAGCAGTTTTCGGTAGTGCAGGGGTAGCTACTAGTTACCATGTCGACGATGGCACAATTTGCTATTCACGAACTTGATAGAGGCGGTTTTGTAGCCCTTAAATACCCCGCTATTGTACGGCATGCAATTGTCAAGAAGGCGCGGTTCGAGGAATGGGATGGGGCTGTTTCAACCGCAATAAATCAGATACCAAAAAATACTGCGACATATGGAGCAAAACTCCTGCTACCGTCCCTTGCCGGATTTATTTCTCTATTACCATATATACAAAATATTTGTTGCGGGTAGAAGTGCTTGGTTGGTTGGGGGGTTTTTTTCTATATTTGATTACAATATCGCTTATGATGCTAAGTTTGTTAGGTGTTTAAGGAACCAGGATTTTAAATACTACAGTATTAATTTACTGATTGATATCGCTCATACTAGATCGGAATCAATTTTTGTATTTAAAGACCGTTCATTTCTGCTACGATCGCCATTCGATCCCTCCAACGATATCTTTGTTCAACAGGTAACGAGTTGTAGCGTAGAAGTCATAAGCATTATTACTAAGCACCTTTGTACTAAGTTGAGCATCTCGCAGATGTCACATGTTGAGAGGATACCTTGAATTCACTTAAGGACACTAACAGCAATTGTCGTGCAATATACTACATGTTAGTTTGCGCTAGGGTTGATATGTAAGTCGTGAATATGAAGTAATATTTGTCCAATTATATTCTGGGAAATGATTTAGGTAGTGCAAGCCAATTTTATTTGTATTTGTAGGGCCAATACTGGCATAATACAGGTCCGGTGCTTGTGGACCCTGTTATCGGCTAAATGCTATTAACTACCACTTACTACGAACTAACAAAACCTCCAGTCCCCCACCACAACAATGCTCAAGGCATGGCCTTACTAGAACTCTAAATAAAAGTTCTTCAACAGTTGTCTCAGATGTGACAGGATTTCACAAATAACTGGATTACAAGTCATATGAGTTTTTTATGTCATGATTGTTATGTTTCACACATCATTTGATTATGATTCATGGATCTCGCACATATGACTCACTCAAGTCATCTAGCATGTTTATGTGATTAGTTATTATGTTTTGCAAATTACTCAATTATAAGTCTTAGGATTTATGCTTATGACTACAGCGAGTCAATTGACTGATTTACCAGAATTTCAGATCACTCAAAGCTATGACTAGGAAGGGCTAGTATTTGTGAAGATAGAACACTATAAGGAGGAGGGTACGGCTGAGGAGGATACACTATTCACACTATATTCTAAGCGATTTCTTTGTTCTTACATTTACTGCTCCTCAGAGTCTAATGGTATATCTTCATCCAATCTGAACCATTACATTCTAGCTCATGAGAGGCTTTGAGTCCTTAACCTCAGTACTATCTTCTGCCCTCTTTGCTATCTCTCTCTCTACATTTGCTAGAATCTGTAGTCCCCTTTTACTTGGCTTTACATTTATTCACTTCAGCTGGCTACTTACAGTGACAATGGCTAAGTGAGTATCTACTCCCTCTGCTGTGACTACTTTACTTTCAATGGTTGTCTTGTCTCATGTCCTAAATAGCAGCTTCTCCGAGGAGGTTGAACTAACTCACCTTTGGCATCAAGTAGCTATCCATGTTGGGTGCCTTCATCACCTAGAGACAGAAGGATCTGCTGAGTCAGCCGCACAGGTTTCTGAGTACCAAATTGCTAACAGTGGGTTTCTTAGTATGGTGGTGCCAACACTTCTAGTGTTATTCCATATTCAGTAGTCTAATCTGTTTGTGTAGTTACTATACTGGTGTCTTTTGTAGGGGGTCAGCAGGTATCTGAGAATGCTCCAATAATGGCTGTATAGCATACTCGAAGAAATGTTTCACCAGCATTCATTTTCTTCAGGCGTGGTGTAGTAGTTTTCAGTCTTGGTATCTGTGAGGTCATGTCATGAGTATGGTTTAGCAACTAAGGGCCTTTCACATAACTCATGATTATAAGTCATTGGTACATTATTATTTTACTCATATGACTCATTCAAGTCTTATCACTTGTTAGCTAATGATTTTATAGGTTTTTAACATGACCTCATGATGAGGTAATAGGTTTTGCACATGTGACCACTTTAGGTCATCTGACTTGTTGATTGTAATATGGTTGATTTATCAGTTTTCACAGATGACCTTTATACAAGATGATGGTTTTTGTACATTTAACTACAGTGGTCATATGACCTCTTTATTATGATTTGGTTTCATGCATGTAACCACTTTGGGTTACATGCCTGGTAGTGGAAACAACACTTTATAAGGAGGACAGTAGTACTAAGTAGGATAGGCTCTTTACGTTTCATTTTAACTAATTTCCTTGTACTTGCGTTTTCTACTTCTCGGTTGTAAGCTGCTATATCGCAATAGTCCTATTTGCTAGATAGCTATCTGAATTCGCCTAGTATCCTGGTAACGGTGGGTTGTTGTGTGGTGGAGGGCTTGTCTACTGGTTTGCATCTCAATTTGTCATACTGGTTATCTTGCAATGCTAACACTTCATATCATTCAGCAAACTGGCTCTAGAGCCTCTTGAGGTAAAAGGTCTAGGAATTCCCACATATTGTCTACTCTTACATTTTGTGTTAATTGGGGGGAAATAACAATATGTTTTAGCGAATCTTCTTTGTTGGCCATCAGCCCAGTACATATTTGTTGGTTTGTAATATAGTCCTGAGTTCTCATGATACAAAACATACTTGGGATAGACTGATAACATTCTCAAGTTTCAACATGTTGTACCAGCCACATCTATCTTCTGGTAGTAGGGTGATATGTACGCAGTCTCTTGTTGTTATGTTATATTTCTAAGGTCAGAATAATTCGATGTTGTTTTCACCTTTCCTTGTAGTTTTGTCCTGGTGGCATTTGTGGTATTTGAGTCAGGCGTCTTGTTCTCACGTTGGTCGTGATGGCTTTTAACATTAATGCCTATAACCTTTAAGCTGCTCTTCATGGTTCCCCCAGGGTGTGTGGGACAATTCACTTGCCTACACTTGCCTTGTCTGTGCCT